TCTTGTCTCTTTTTCTTCTCTACTTGGTTTCTGATAAGTTTTTCAAGTAGAGTTTCTATTCTAATCTCATTTTGTGCTTCTTGGTTATATTTTTTTTTTCAAATTTGATTTTCTTCTTTTCTTTTAATTTAACATTTCTAATTTGAGCTCAATTTTGTTTTTTTTATAATTAGTCATTAAATGTTTAACCTATTTTTTCTTTATTATTCTTCTGTTGCTTTAAAATTTTCTTGTAAAAGAGTATTGTGTAGATTCTTCTTTGTCTTTATTTCTGAAGCAGCCTTTGTATAGTTGAATTTTAAACCTATTATCCTTACTATCTTCTAGTCTTGCCCAGTATTTTATATCGAATATTTTCTTATTCTTATTATATTTTTTAATTATCTTCTCTATTTCAAGAGTATCCTTCTTTTCTTCAAACAGAATCTATTCTTTAAATCTTTTATCTGTCTTGATTTTGGTTAGAATTGCTCTTATATTTATATCATTTCTTCTTTTTTCTGATATTTTCTTTGATTTCTCTTGTTTTTATATATTCAATTATTTCCTCTTCTAGCTTTTAAAACTATTTTGCTTTCTTCTCTTTCACTTTTGCTTTTCTATATAATTTTTACAGGTTCAATAAATACATAAATGATACATAATAGGATTTTTTTATCATTCCGATATCTATCCTTTATATATCTACTCTTAACCTGATTTGCTACAGTTATTTGATAGATCTATGGTAATATAAAGAATGAATACTGGTATAATATAAAAGATAAATATTAGATAAATAAAAAGTATCTATTAATATCCCAATATCAATACTTTTTATAATAATTATATATCTGTTTTGCTATATATATTAGAAGTATAAAAGATAAATATCGATAAATACAAAATAAATATCAGCTAAATAAAGAGTACCTACTTATACCCTGATATCTATTCTTTATATATCTTCACTTAACCTGGTTTGCTACAGTTATTTGGCAGATCTATAGTAACATAAAGGTTAAATACTGATACAAAATAAAAGATAAATATTAATTAAATAAGGGTATCTATTAATATCCTGATATTAATCCTTTATATAATAATTATATACCTGATTACTACACATATTTGGCAGATCTATAGCAGCATGCAAGATAAATATCGGGAGTATGCAAAATGAATATTAGCTAAATAACAGGTATCTTTTATTATCCCAATATTGATATATTATATAAAAATTATGTATCTATTTTGCTACCAATATTAGTGACTATAGTAATATAAAAAGTAAATAATGGTATATGTAAAGACAAATATTGGTTAACTAAAGGGTTTCTTTTAATATTCTAATAGTTATCTGTTTGCGCAAGTTATAGCAAAATAAAAGATAAAAAACAGTATATATAAAGACAAATAGTAGTAAACTAAAGGGATTCTTTTAATATCCCGATATCTACTCTTTTATAAATCTGTTTTTTACTAGCTAATATTAAAGATGAATATTGGTATAATTAAAATAAATAGTAATGTTTGCAATATTACATAGATATTTTATTTTTATTTATTCTCGATATATAATTAAAAAGTGATATTTGAATTTTTTATTATTTAATATATATTTTTTTTTACAATTATTATATACATGTAATTAATAGCTAAATAAATATATAATATAAATTAAATATATTAAAAAAAAAATTATTTTCTAGTATGCCTAAAACTTCTGGGTGTTTTTTGACTTAAACTACCTCTGCTATATCATAGTTTAGAATATTTAACAGTATTAGCAAGATAAATATTACGATCTTTATTTAATTCTGAATTATAAAATAATAATTAATATATTGTAAATTAATTAAAAATAATACCAATTTATTAAATAATATCTTGTATATTAGCATTAAATTTTGAATTTTCAATAATAAGATTAAATATATAAGTTTTAGATTAGAACTATAACAGCAGTTATATAAAAATTAGCAAATACATTATCTGATTCGTAATTATCTCTACTAACAGATTTATCTTTGTCTCTTGTCCTAATAACATTATTATTATTATTATTATTATTAACTGTTATATTACTTTCAGAGATTAAATAAATAAAACATTACAAAAATTTAGTAAAAAGTCATAAATAACATATTAGAAATATTAGAAATTTTACCAGTAATGATATCAGGAGCATCACTAGGTTCTTCAGTAGAAACATTACTGGTAAGGATTCTACCAGAATATGTATCAGCAGCATTTTTATTATAACAGGTATTAGGGGCACAACTAGTACTTGTGGCAGAGGCACAACTAGGACTTGTGATAGAGGTACAACCAGTACTTGTAGCAGGGACATGACCAGTACTTGTGGTAGAGACACAACTAGAACTTGTAGTAGAGATACAACCAGAACTTGTAGTGAGGTACGAGCAGAACTTGTAGTGAAAGCATGAGCAGGACTTGTAACAGGAACACGATCAGAATTTATAGTAGAGGTATGATCAGGACTTGTAGCGAAAAAACTACACAAACTTGTATCAGAGAAACTAGAAGTAGTAGCACCACCAGCACTAGTAGAGCTACCAGAAGAACTACAAGACATGATGAGAGAGGTTATACTAGAGATTGAAGGTGAAATATACTAACTAGAAGCTCCAGCTAGTGGTGTGGAATTATTTGTAACTTTATTATTTTCTTACTAATTTTTTTCAACTTATTTTGATTTTGTTCTATGGCAGTTTTTTCGTGCAGCAACAAAATCTGTTCTAACTAAAAGTATATTAAAATATATTAGTACCGATATCTATATTTATATGATTATCTATTGTAATAATTATAGTTTCTGATCACTATTCTTTTTTTATAACTTTTACAACATAACTATGTCTTTCAGATTCAATTTCAGAACGAATGTTTTGTCTTTCTTCTTCTTCAGCCAGTTCAGTATCTGTTTCAAATACCTCATCATTGTGGTATTCACTTTTTTTCAGTATTTTTTTAAGTCATTTAGAGCCTGTTGCTCTGGTATATCAAGAAGAAAGAGATTTGTAAGATGCACACTATTTGTTTTTTGTAAATAGGTAAACCCCTTTTTGACAGTTAATTTTCTGAGAAGTAGAATTAAAATTTTACCGATAGTTATATAAGCAAAATGTTGATACAAAAAAAAAAATTCTTACTGTAGTCATTCTTTGATTTTTCTAGTTTTTTTGCAAGTGTTTCATATTTCTATCAGAGTCTTGTTTTCTTAAGTGCTTTTCACATTAATATTAGTGGTGTTTCTTAATAATTTTAAGTATTTGGTGATCTTCTGCCTAGTACCTTCTTACGTCACGTTTTACTATTTTAAAGGAATTTTTGAGGAATTCTTGCTTGAATTCCGACCAAACTTGGG